GTATTGCTCCATACTTTATCCAATGCACCAGGCCCAAGCCCAAATCCAAGGTACAAAACAACGCGAACAAACCCAATGCGATGATACTCGCTCCCCTTGGCACGAAGGTGGGCAACTAATATATCAGGATCAAGCGAGCCAACCACCAATACCTTACATTTAGGAATGTTCAACCCCAGTCCTACCGCATGTTCCAACTTACGGAGGAGCGAAAGGGTCGGCTGAAGGTCCGTCAGGATGTTGGGAAGGCAGAACGCAAGCTCATCAGCGTATGCTCTAATTCGGGGAACCTGGCCAGTGAGCCTAGACCTCATCCAGCGCAAAACTGGGTCTAGCGCATAAGCGAAGAGTCGCATCGACGCAGGATCTCCCTGCCGCACACCACGTTCCACCGAAAACTCGATGCCAGTAGTCCCAGGGAAGTTGATACCAGCCACATTGCCACGGTAAGGCTCACGATATAAACCACAAACTTCACCAGGAACACCCATCGCATCCAAGACCGCTAGGATCCAGGAGACGATCAGAGAGGGGAACGCGGCCTTAAAGTCTGTGAAGAGAATTCCAGAGCGATCCCCACCAGTAAGCATCTGACCAAGACCCCACCATTCAATCCCAACCACGTTGTCAAGGAGCCCACGTCGCGCGACCCCCCCCTCGCTGTGTCGTGTCGATCACGGTCGGAGCAGCCCGCTGGAGGCCGATGGAGAACGCGTCGCTCAGGAGCTTCGCATCGGTGTTCGCAAGTGTGAGCGGTCGAGTCTTATCAGGAGACCGAACGAGGGCCGCGGGGTTCTCGTCGTCTTTGAGGTCTTTGGGCAGAAAACACATCCTTCCACGACGCATGCACGCAGAGACAGTACCCCCCCGACGCCTGATACATCTCCTCACAAACAGCAAAAAGAACTTCAGCGCCCCCCCCAGCTTTCCAGCGCCCATGCGGAATGCCATCCTCCCCAGGAGCAGAGTGATGCTTGAATTTGGCCCGCTCTATGAAGCCGTCGACCTCCAACTTCCACTGCGAGGGGTCCAACTGGATCGGCTGGGCATGGGCGAGGATTTCAGGCCAAAGGGTCCGATCAGGTTCCTTGTCGGCAGAAATCGCTTGCCAATGGTCTCGAAGGGCCTCGGCAGAGGCTGTCGGGGAAGGGCAAACTTGCCCTGCGCTGTCCAGGATTCCAGAAAGCCCGTATCGCCGCCGCATCTTGGACCAGGCTCGACGAAGGTGTTGCAGGCGTGCCGTAGCCTTAGCCTTAGACTTCTCGTTCTCCTCCCGTCCGTCCATCGCCCGCTCCTCTGACTCATGCCACGCGTCCTTCAGAGACTGCACCAAAGCACCCAATCCTGCTATGTCCACGCATCTCTCATGGTCAGGATCGAAGTACTGAAGCAACCGCGGATGCGCGCGGATCGCGCGCGCACACTGGTCGAACCTGCCCATGCGCCACCCACGGAAGGCCATCATAGCAAAGTGGAGCTTCTCACAGTTCTCTTTCGGAGGCTTCATCCGAAGCCGAGCCTTGATCTGAGGGGCCATCTGCCAGAACATCTCCTTCACCCGGGCCAATTTCTCCCGAGGGGTCAGATCTTGGTCGATTTCCATAATAGCGTTGGCACACAACTCATGGTAAACACAATGACGGGAAATCCATTTAGGAATCTGGGTGGGTAACGCCGATGGCATTCTCAGAGCGACAGTAACAACAACGGGGATATGGTCGGACGAGGCGAATGTCTTCACTGCATGTCCCAAGGTATTAACAGTCACAGAAATCATTCAGGACGGGGGCAGGGAAGGAAGTGTAGATGCGGTCCAGGCGGGCAACCACACGAACTTCTCCATGGAAAACATCCCGCCGAGTCGGATCAGGTTGGAAAAGCTCCGCCCAGGACCCACAGATAGACTGAAATGCATCGGTGTGTTCCCTATCTCCTGCTAGCCACGTGCCATCAGTACGGAACCGCCCCTCCTCCACCTCCATAAAGTTCCAATCCACTGCAATCAAGCACATGGTGTGCGCAGCCAAAGGAAGGAAAGCCTGAATCACACAAAGGTACCTGCGATACATCGCAGCATGGTCCGAGGTGTTCGGCATGTGTACATTGACAATCACTGAGCCCCCGCGACCTCCTTTCAGGTGCGAAGCGAGAACTCGGCCAGCAATCAACGGGAACGAAGAAATCGATTCGAACTGCGAAGCCAGCTTACTCGAGATGACAGGAACCACACCGCCCCCAGCTCTCGGATCGATCACCGAATGGTGAATGACTGCATTACGGCAACGGTCATCCCGCTGTAACATCTCCACATCCGACACTGTGCCATGAGTCTCCTGTAAACACACAACGTCGAACCTGCCGACAAGACCATGCATCTGCTTGTACCGCTAAGCTGCCAATGGAGACGACGTAGAGTACGAAGAGAAGAGAGCACGTGTATTCCAAGAGCACATTGTAAGCGCAGAGGAGGGAGCGAACACCCCATTCGCTCCAGTGGACAGGTCACCAGGGGTAAAAGGTCCGCCTGAATTCAAATTAAAATACGGGTTGGCTGGCTGAGCACTGTCCTGGCTAGTCGGAACACGGGTCCGATGGTTTCCCCCGACAGGCCCCGCACCCCGAGGGGGGCCCGAACCACCAGGGACCAGACAAAAATCGCCAGGCAGCGCACTGGGGGTCCCGAGGCGGGGGGCGCCAGAACAACTGTGGGCCTCACACAAAGGGCCGAATCTGATCAAAAAGAGTGGCAATACAGCCTGCATGATCGCCTACTCCGAAGGTTCCGAGGGCCTCAGGAATCAGAGCAAGTTCAGGACGACCACACTCACGGACCGTGACCTTCGCCAGAATCACTGGGTGAGTCGCCGTAATGAGGCCGTATATTTGACCGCCGAGACCATTGCTGCCCACCTGGAAACCTTTCTCCCCCAGGACCTTCCCGATGATAGCACGAGTCTGCCCGAGGTAGTAGAACAACTTACGGCTAGCGGGGGGCAAGTCCCGACGCGCGCGGAGCTCCCATCCCTGGTTATCGATCGGGTTCTGGTACACAGTCTTACCAATAGTCTGGCTCTTCCCAAAGAGCGCAGTGCATGACAGAGTGCTGTGGAAGTCAAGAATCACCTTCCTCGTGAGAGAGTATGCTCGAACGATCGGCTCCTCCCCTGCTGGACTGCACGCAGCGACAATAGGGGCCACCGCGTTCTTCAGAGACGCCTCCAGAAGGGGTTTTTCAAATCCAAGGACAACAAGACGGGTGGCACTGGCTTGGTCAGGCCCCGACGTACGCATCATCTTCCGACGTCCTCCTTCCCCTTCTCCTCCCACGAGCTCGAACTCCGAGTCGGCGCGAGTCGACGAACATGCTGAGAGCTTCTGCTGTAGTTCCTGCATCTGACCTTCGATCTTTGTCACTGCTGCAGCAAGCTTCGCATCTGTGTCAATCGAGACCTGGTGGATCGCTGCGTCCTGGGATTTCTTAATCTCTGCCCAACGAGCCTCCGACCGACGATTCAACTCCGCGAACTCCTCCTGCATACGATCGACGTTGGACCCCATCACTGTCATCTGCTTACTGAACATTTCAAAGTTCTCGGTATGCGAGGAGAATCCTTCCTTCACTAACTTCGTCAACGCGTAGATCTGCGCTGGCACCTCGCTCTGTACCTCGGGCGAGGCGGGTGGCACACTTCCCCTCCCCGCCCCCGCAGGGGCAAAGGAAGGAGAACTCTCTGGAGAGCCGCACATGGAGCCAGTCATGCTAGCGCCCTCAGCCATGGCGTGAGGAGGGGAACAGGGAGGCCGGCCGCAGGCGCAGGCGCGCGGGCCGAGAGAGAGGGAAGCAGGGAGACCCGCGGCGCGGGTCGGGAGAGCCAGGCCACGCGGGTCGCGCAGACCACCCTGAGCTGATACGGCTTGAGCCAAAATGGCTTGAGCCAAAATGGCTACGGAACAGGAGGAGGAGGAGGAGCAGGAGGAGGAGGAGGCGGAGGAGGAGGAGGAGGAGGAAGAGGAGGAGGAGGAGGAGGAGGAGGAGGAGGAGGCGAAGGAGCAAGACCACGACGCGCGTGCCGCCAGGCTGACCAAGCACACCACGCGGGCCAGCCTGCACGTGAGCCGTGCGCTGCTCCCAACCTCGGACGGGGGCCAGGGCGAGCGCAACACCGACCCTCCCGCCCAGCCCATTCGGCTACACGTATAGTGGGCCCTCAGGCTTAGGTCGGGCCTGTCCCCCTACAGGGGGATTTTGGACGAAAAACAAATGTTCAAAAGATGCCGCAAAATACTAAACAACAAAAAGTCCCCAGACTATTTACTGACTATTTTTGAATATTCCCCCTGTAGAGGGACAGGCCCGACTTAAACCTAAGCAGGAGTTTGTTTTTGGAGGAGAGGAGATCGGACATCCAAGCGACAAGAATCCCCGCAAGCGAGGGCATCAGAAATTGTGTGAGACAGGCGGGCTGATGAGGGCGGCCCTGCGGGCAGTTAGGACATGATGAGAAGACGAGGCCCGATGCCCCTAAGCATGAGTGCCCTTTTTGGTGCGCGACTTTCGGGGACCGCGGGGAGGCCGAGCTGGAGCGCGCAAGCCGCTGCTATCGCATCGTCTTCGGCCACCTGGGGACCTCAGTGCGCCCGAACCAGAGGTCACTCCGGCGAAAGGCCACTCCCAAGCGGAGCCGACGCATCCGCTCAGTCGGTCCCCCAAGCTCCTCCCGGGGACCATCCTGGCTGTTCTTTCATAGCGGGTCCAACCGTGGCGACGAGAAGCCGCCAGGAGGCTTCCGCCTCCACCTCCGCCTCCGCCTCCTCCTCCTTCTCCTCCTCCTTTTCCTCCTCCTCCTCCTCCTCCTGCTCTTCTTCCTCCTCCTCCTCCTCCTTCTCCTCCTCCTCGTCCTCCTCCTCCTCCTAAAAAGGGCGAGAAATACCAAGGGGAGCCGCCGTTGTCTCCCCTGGCCCTCCTGCGTCACACCCCCCCCTCGCCCCGCCACGGATTGTCAGTCGTCTGCTGCTTTGCCTTCACGGCCGCCATCTCGCCGATGGCGCTCAGGCCGCTGTTCTCCGCCAAGGCCATCGGGATCGCGTCCAGTGCCTGGCAGCAGTGTGGCACCAGGGGGCAAACCTACGAACTAGAAGAGACCTCTGTGGATCGACACTTCTCCGGGGACAAAAACATGGTCGACCCACGAATCCGAGAATTGACATGCTGTGCCGTGCTGAGCTTTGCTGTTTCACACTCTGTTGAACGGTGCTGTACTCTATTGCGCTGTGGATCCAGTCGTCCTTGGCGTCCGTATCTTGATCTTGATTGAATTGATCTGCATCTTTAGCTCGAGCTGCATGAGCACATGACTCTCCCAGAGCAGGTTGCAGTCGAAACGTGCGGGGCGCTTGACCAATCCGAGCTCAAAATCCGATTCAGCTCCGAAACGGGACGCAGAGACAAGGAGCGCAGGGCGCATGGACGCGCCATGCCAGGGGCGTGCCATGGGACGCGGCAAGGGAAGTGACGAGCGACGCGCCACGGCACGGGCAGGGGAAGCGCCAGAGGACGAGCCAGAGAATGCGTCAGCAGACGAGCCAGCGAACGTGCCACGGGACACGCCGGTGGACATGCCCGGGAACCCGTCAGCGGACGCGCCAAGCAACTCGCCAGTGGAAGCGCCAGGGGGCATGCCAAGGAACGCGCCAATGGAAATGCCATGGGATGCACCACGGAACGTGTGAGGGGACGCGCCGCAGACGTGCCGCGGGAGGCGCAAGCCAAAGGACGTGCCAGGGGACGCGCCAGAGGACGTGCCAGGGGACTTGCCACAGAACGTGCCAGGGGGCGAGCCACCCTGCTCTGTGACTCTCCTCCGCTGTATCCGCGCTCCCAGCGCCACAATCTGTCGCAAGTTACTCTGGGCTCGCGCTCCTAGGGCCACGCTTCCTAGTAAATTACGCTGGGTCCGCGCTCCCATGGCCACGATTCCTTGCAACTTACGCTGCGTCCGCGCTTCCAACGCAACGATCCCTCGTAGATTGCGCTGCGTCCGTACTCCCAGGGCAACCGCCCATTGTGATTTATGCTGCGTCCGCGCTCCAAGGGCCACGATCCAGTTGGTTGGATTCGCGCTCCCAGTGCCACGATCCCCTGCAAATCATACCGTGTCGGGTCGCTCAGGGCCACGATTCCTCAGTTATGCTGCGTCCAGGCTCGCATGGCCACGATCCCCAGCAAATTACAACGGGTCCCGCTCTGCCTGGGGCCTTGTGGGCCTCCGACCCAGGTCCTGGCCCCTCAAGGCTGGCCTGGTGGGAAGCACATAGCCCAATTTGAAGGGGCCCAGGGGCACACAAATAAATACACACAAATCCCAGGATTCCCCATATTTTCCCATATTTGTTGGGCGTTCGTCTTCCCCCCCCACTTCCCATATTTCCCCATATTTTCCTGGGAATCGACGATTCATTATGTCTGTGTGTTTTTCCCTCCTGACAATTTGCTGCTTGCACTAACCGGCTTCTTGTGTCAGAACGACCTGGATCTGTCGGCGGGGGTTCTGCCACCGTCGCCGCTGGGATAGGGCAACGCCCACAGGGCCCTTTCACGCGACTGCGAGCTCTCGGTCGTCGTCACCACCCGCAGGATCCCGTGCCATGACAACTGGGATTTGGCCACCCACTCATCAATAGAGGTCAAGCCCCCCACCCTATAATTACCACCCCGACACGCGAAGTCGATTAGTAAACGCGCCCACAGAAGAAATCGAACAGGGCAAGGCTTCTAGTAAACTCCAAAGGCCGTTTAGTAAACGTCAATTGTCTGGTCCGGGTGGTTTTTCCTCCCTCGAAGCAAGTCCCACGACATGACTGGGGGAACGGCTTTCCATGATGTTGGCAGCAAGGTCCCACACTTGGAGACCCTGTCTGGAGGCCTGGGCTGCCCCCGTGTATTGACTTTCCATGACGATTGCCCTGAAATTCCCTGCCTGTGTTGCTGCTTTGTGTGGCAGCTTTCCACAGAGATTGCCCATTGGGGTTCTGTCCGTATGTATATATATATATATATATTCTCATACGCACCTCTCCGAGAGAGTAGAGCTCAGAGGCGATTAATGCGCACGCGTCCGCGATTTGTCTGGGCGTTTCGCTCGGGACATCCTCGAAATTCTGAAAATCGGTGGCACCCCTCACGCAAATCGTGACGTCAGGGTCCAAAAACACATGGGAATTTCAACATTTTAACATAAAACCTTCAAAGACACATGGTAATTTCAATAATTGTGACCCCGATTCTCAGGGAATGGCGGTTTCGCTTGAAAAAACCTTCCAAACTCGAGCCCCAGACCCCGCCTCGGAGCCTCCTGGGGGCCTCCTGGAACCTCCTGGGGCCTCCTGGGGCTTTCTGAACCTTCTGGCACCCCAGACCCCGCCTCGGAGCCTCCTGGGGGTGTCCTGAAACCTCCTGGGGCCTCCTGGGGCCTCCTGGAGCCTCTTGGGGCCTCCTGAAGCCTCCTGGGGTCTCCTGGGGCCTCATGAGGCCGCCTGGGGCCTCTTGGGGCTTCAGAACTACATGCACACAGAGACACAAATCACGCCCAACACATCACATGCTAGACAAACATAACACACACACAACACCTACAACACACAAAAAGCACGCACCACACAAAGCATACACCACAAACACACACACACACGCACAACACTCACAATCCTGGGGCCTCCTGGAGCCTCTTCTGGTATCCAAGTCGGGCCTCCTGAGGCTTCCTGGGGGGCCCTGGTACACACATCGCAAGGTGTGGCAAGCCCACTTGCGCTCGAGTGCGACTTCGATGTTGCATTTCACTCCTGCTTCAAACGCCCCTTCAGTTTTTTTGTATGAGCCTGGGCACACACGTGCCACTTGCATATAGATGGTTCTGGCCCTCGTCGACCCCGCGTGTGCTGTGCCTCCAGCGGTTGCCCATAAGCTCCCGCCCACGAGGTCCTTACTTTGGCTGCCCTGTGGTGTGCTGTACTTTATGGTTGCCCTGCGGGGCCCGCGCACAGGTCCCTGGCATGAGCTGCCCTACCCGTCGTTTTGTTTCAAGTGCTAGCTCTTCTGCCCCAGTGCTGAATTTCGCACTCACACCATGCCAGCTGTTCGTGTTGGACAGCATGGTAGCGATCACCCTTTTCTGCCAGACATTGAAGATTGACCCCTGATGCCTGAACTGCATGGCGTCTTGGCCGTAGCCGAAGCCAGTACGCCCTCCTTTCCTCTCAGCATAGCCCAGGGCACTACGAGCGCTGACAATTCAAACTGAGTGTCCTGCTTCACCCTCACGACGTTTTGCGCCGTTTGGCGCTAGAGCGTGCCTGCACCAAACGCTTCGCTGTACGTGTGTACTTTGCGAAAAGCTGCAGTGACTGCAGAGCAAAACAACATCGGATCCGCCAGCCCCCGCTTGCCGGGGGTGGAAGGCGTGTGAGACATTTGGCTGTTGCCTCTCCTCCTTTTCCCTTCCTCCAGGGTCCCAAATCCTGTTCAAGGTGGGGTGGTTGGGGGGGGGGGAGGTTGGGGGTGGGGGGAGGGGGGAGGGGTGGAGGGTGGGGTGGGGGGACGAGCTGGGCCTCCAGAGCCTCCGACGAGCCCTACGGCTGTCCAAGAGAGCCCAAACAGAGCGCCAAGACAGTCCCAGAGAATGTCGAGACGTGCTTAGGTAGCCACGCGACGGTCCGAGATGGCTCCGATACGGCCTACGAGGCTTCCAAGAAGGCCCAAATGTTTTCCAAAACGACCGCAGAGGAAGGCCTCAAGAAACACAAATCGTCCCATTCCCATCGGTGAACTTACATCTTTGGCCTACCTGCCTTCTTCGTCTGGACACCGTGCAAGACGGCTCCAAAGGCCCCAAAGACCGTCCCAAGATGGCCCGTGAGGTCCCCAAGAAGGCCCCCAGACGGCTCTAGAGGGCCCTAAGACGGCCCAAAGGCCGCCCAAGATCGCCCAAGAGGCACCGAAGAGACCCCAAGAGGGGCTCAACACTGGGAAGACGAACTGATATTCGAGCCTTTCGCTCCAAGATGGCCCCAAGAGCCCCCCCGAAGCCCCCGATGCGTCCCTAAGAGGCTCCCACCCCAAGCAACTCCAAGAAGCACTCCAGATGCTCCAAGAGGCCCCTTCCTACTCGTCGCCCTCCTCCCCATCATCCACGTCCTTCTCCTCTCCTTTTTTCTTTCCAACCGGTCTGTCAAATCATTCCTTGGGGGTCGGCGGAATGTCGTAAGCCTCTTGAATAATCACTCCTCATCGTCCTCCCCCGTCCTATCCCTCCCCCCCTTCCGCAATCTCCCTCGTCAGCCCATAGCTACCTTCTGCCCGTCCCCCTCCCTCGTCAGCCAGTAGCTACCTTCTGCTAGCTTCCCCCTATGTATTTTCCCTGCGCTCCGCCCCCACCCCCTCTCACATTTCAGGTCCTCCTCCCTGCATATTCACCTTCAGCTTTCCCCTCTCCATTCTCTCCCTCCAGTCTCCTCCCCTCCCCCTGTCCCCTCCCACTCTCCCATGCTGTTGCTGCTGCTGCTGCTGCTCCAGCTGCTGCTGCCAACATCGTTCCACAGCGCCGATGCATCGGCAATGCGGCGTGATCCTCCAGCACCATTTACTCCGGCCCTCTTCGAACGACTCTGGGAACCCTGAACCAAACATGATCTATCCACGCAGCCACACACACATATATATATATAAATATGTATACACATACACATATTCATATATATATATATATATATATATATATATATATATGTGTGTGTGTGTATGATACCGGAGAAAAACCCAATCAGGGCTATAGGGTTAGGGGGCTATAGGGCTACAGAGCTATAGGGCTATAGGGCTATTGGGCTATGGGGCACCCCCGGGCACGCCCGGGCACCCCGGGCACCCCCGGGCACCCCCGGGCACCCGGGCACCCCCGGGCACCCCTGGGCACCCGGGCGTGCGGCGAAAATCGGCGGCAAACCTAACCTAACCACATGAATCCGCTCGGACCCCTACAGCGGCAAGCTCTGACTGGGGAATCTACTTGGGCGGTGGCAGTGCTGAGGACAGCCATGGTGATG